TCGCGCCAAATGTTTTTATTGGTTTATTAAGTACAAACAGGCAAGTTATGAAAAATTGAGTGTGAGGGATTTGTTCACTTCACACAAAAATATCTTGGAATGAGATGGCTAACTGTAGTAGTGTTTAGTCCACTGTCTATAAAAGCCTAATTTAGAGATCACTTTTTTTTTTAACCGACAACTTTGATAGGTTAATGTTGATACGGTCAAACGGTCATCGGTTAACATCCCTAATTTGAACAAAACCGTGATATGAAATTTTCATACCGTTTCAGCTCTACTATAAGCTTATATAACCAGTTTAGGATAGATGAAGAGGATCTCTAGCTGACTAGCTGAAGATGTTACTGCTTTACCCATTAATTAGTCTCGCATAGCCAGACCTTCAGACTGACGGCAGAAGGTCTGAACTCACAGCTTTTCTTGGCCAAAGACCGCCCAAGAGGACATTTGACTGACATGTAACGCAACCAATCACAGTTAGTTTTGTTTCGTGTCATGTTTAGGGGCGTGAAAATATAATGTCGATGTCCCTTAACAGACCAGCGTTTATCTATAAATAATTGATTCAAGAACGTTGTGCAAGTTTACTGCAACAATGGTGCCACGAACGTCACATACTTTCAGCGTTTAGTTGATCCCGATAAGTGCTCACTGTCACAGTTGTAAACATGATGGTGTTCTTCTTCCACGAGGGGTTTTGGCGTTCATGGCATTTGTTTCCAGGCGGACCGCTAAAGAACGCGACCCACACGTCTCCCGGACATCCTGTAGAATTCAACCAATCAGATCATGACGACTTCAAAACTCCTGAAGTGTTTCCTGAAAACTGTGCCATATGCATCAGACTTTCCGGTCTGTGGGCATAGACACGGTACTTCTTTGAAACTAAATTCCAGCACAGGGCTACAACAACCATAATGAAATGAACCTTCACAATAAATAATGCGACAATGAACTCGGTTATGAGCTACCTATGGCAAGTCATCTGATCTACTCAATAAAATACCTTTCTCACCTGTTGAATAATAAAAATCCCATCTCTGCATCAGTTTTACATTTCAAATCCAAAATTTCTTACCATCTCCAAAAAGCCAAGCCAATGTTGATTCTCGTTTTATTACGAGCTCTGTCACATTCTTTTTTTGCCAGCAGATTCTCCTCTGTTTGGCAGTTTTTTTAAGACGGTTCATACCTCGGTTCAGACATCACGGTTCGGTACGATTTCGGTACAATGGAGTGAATAGCAAAACAAAAATGCAGAAGGCTTTTTTATAAATGTCTTAAGCCTTGTATTTTTTATATACGTTTTATTAATAAAGGCATAGAACCAGTTTATTTGTAGTGCACTGACAGTAGTTTTATATAATTAGTTTATTAATTAAATTATTAAAAAGACGAAAAGACCATGAGATATGTTTGGTAATTGTACCATAATGAATTTAAAATTAATTTGCTATTTCAGATCAATATATTTGTTTTCCTTCATTTTAATTAACCCTAACTTTATTCTCATCTGAATGATAAATAATTGATTTCCGTATAAAATAATACTACCATTAAAAACTTTTGTTAACAGTTGTAGGTTACAGTTTGACATGAGTTTAGAGTGTGACAAAAGCACAATGTTGTGTTTTATTGCGAGTGTACACAAATATAAGTAAACAAATTGCCGTTTTAATGATGTCCTGTATGAAAAAAATGACGGAGTATGTTTTTATGTTTCCACTGTTTGATCGCCCGTGCCTCTCTCACACACACACACTGTTCGATCGCGCGATTCGCGCCCGCGCCTCTCTCTCTCTCTCTCGCACGCGCACGCGCACGCGCACACTCTGTTCGATCGCGCGATTCGCGCCCGCGCCTCTCTCTCTCTCTCTCGCACACACACACACTGTTCGTTCGCGCGATTCGCACCCGCGCCTCTCTCTGTCTCTCTCTCTTTCTCGCGCACACACACACACACACACACACACACACACACACACACACTCCAGCATTGCAATCTTGATCGCAGCCTGTTCATTGCTGCGTTCACAGTCACACCAAAAGCGAATAGAGCGAAATTTATCGCTATTTAAGAGGTTTTTTATTTATTTGTACCGTGTATTCTCCGTGCAAATTCGTGCACCGAACCGTGACGCCCGTACCGTTTCGGTTCAATACAAATACATGTACCGTTCCACCCCTACAACTAACCTATGCCACTCCCACAACATACACACATCAAAGTAACCTGAGCAACTTTTCTCTATTTATGGATATGACAAGACATGCACAGGCGAGTTACACTCATTTTCCTGCGAAAACCATCCCGCTATAGGTCTAAAATATAAACACTTACAATAGCTACCATTAGTGAATCGGGTAAGATAAAAACACGTTTTGACTTTTGTTAATTTTGAACATAAAAAGTTGCGTAGTGTACCTTTTAAGGAAAGAAAATCTATGAATGTTTGAAATCAAAGATGTCTGATTATAAGCCTTAAAAGAAATGTCAATGTTTGTGTCCAGTGTTTCTGTATACTTGTTTGCCTCTTTGACCCTTTTTGAACTTCAGTGCAACAAAAGAGTGGTATTGCTAGATATGGCCTATCCTCTGGAAATACTCAGGATGCTTTTGATGTTGATATAACTTTTTGTTTTTCTCACATTGTGAACTTCAGAAATGCATTTCAGTTTCAGTATAACCAAAATTAATTCTACAAGATCTTGTTCTGACTTTGCTGGATTGAAACTAAAAGTCAGTGGAATGAAAGGTTACTTTAATACCCTCCGGTGACTTTTAATGTAAATGATTGCTTTTAGTCACTGTTAAACCTCAGAGGTCTGTCTCATAATAACCTGATGCAGTCCCTCGGTGCTTCTATTGTACGTGAACAAAAGGTATGAAGGATTAATCACTTATTCAGAATCATACAGCACCGCTCCGTTCGGTGAGCGCTGTCAAACAATTGCAGACGCAATTGGCTTTTCTTTGCAATATTTAAGCATATTGAAAAGAATGAGAATGTGTAATGTGGTGAATTGTTGAAGCTTAAATTGCTTCTTCAGAGCTTGGCAGAAACAAACACTGTGTCATCAGACCGGCCCACCACCAGCTGCTAAATATATTTAAATAAGTCCACTGAATATGAACAAAGCCGTAAACAATGCATGCTCATTAGTGATCGCCAAACCTTCCTCACTGTTGCCAGAGGAGTTCGGCTCTTGAATTCAAATCTCAATTATGCCAATAAAAAACGCTTTTCTCTTTCCTATAGGTACACAAATTTGTTTGCGACCAACAATTGCAGCCATCAACAAAGTGGCTTATGCTGTTGTTCTCATTGTACAGTGTCACATGTGTAGAAACATTGATAAAGACCAGTTGACGGATATAATGCCCTTGGCCATTTTTGTTTCGCTCAAGCCGACCGCATTTATTCACTTGAGAATCTCCAATATTTTTTGTTTTGTTGAACAGCGCAAAACTTGTAGTTGTGAAACATGAATTTGAAAATAATGCAAGGCCTTGCTCCATTAAACATAAATGCGTGTTTTTTTTTTTTTTTAGTTTTAGGTAGATTTGCACAAAGAGAATGAGCTGTCAATCACGCAATGAATAATTGAGTAAAGATGCATCTACAGGTCGAACTTTTCTCAGTGCATCACTTTGCCCAAAGAGCACCTGACCTTGTGGTATTGCCCCATGCACCTTCAGTAGTGAGATATATATTTCAACCTGCCCTATGCCAGGGGTGAATAGAGGCCCTAGTGTTTGCTCACCTTGTAGAGAATCGCCCCTGGCTGTTTACACTGTGTGGGCTGTGAGGTTGCACACAGATTTTAAAAATGGATTGATGACCACCAAACGACATTGGAAAGCCAAAGGGCAAAACAGAAGTTCACTTTAGTTTGCAGCTTATTGACAGATTTCCGTTTTGATATCGCTTGATGTTTTTCTTCATGATTAGTGCCATTGCTTGACATGGTTTGATGTGCTTCACTGGTCTTGTTTGATCAGTAGATGTTGTGATGTTATTTATTTATAGTGTGCTTCTGTCATTACAAAATTCATATTATGAACGGATAGTTTTGGTTCTGGATGCTAGCTGTTCAAGACAGCATTTTAGCTGTACTAAAATACGTGATGTACTAATATCGATTATATCTTCATGCAAAAGTTTGTCACAAAATGAATATATTAAATGTGATTTTTATTTAAAAGTATTTCAGTTAATTCTTTAATTTTGGTGTCTTTTATTAGCTGTCTTTTATTTTATTCTTTGATAAATAGAAAGTTTAATTGAAATTGTAAAATTGTAAATGTTTACTGTCAACTGTTTTTAAAAAAATAATAATAATTAATTATTTTTTATTGTTTTCAATTAAATTCTGGACATTATAATGCTGTGGTGCCTAAAATTGCTTGTAGCATAAAAGTGGTTTAGTGTGTTTCATTTATGTATTTTTAACATAGATTTGTAATATTGTCATCATTGATAACATTTCCTGTGGTTCCTTCCTTCCTAATAACAACGGAACACCCGCAAGATCACATCACAGCCTCTCTTATTTTTAGAAAAAGCTTTGTGGACTTGCGTGGAGAGTTAGATACAATGTATGCATTTCTTCTTCCAAATTACGAAAGCGAAATTCAGTCATGCTCTATATTTTGGCCTGGCTCGTACCAGTGGATAAAAACCAACACAACCTCATTGTAGTCATTCTGAGTGGGTGGCAGAATGGCAGAGTTTGGCGGAGCTGACATCTCTCTCCTCTTTTGAGTTGCCAAGAGGCGTCTCTGCGCTCCTTCACGAACTAACAAAGGCGTTTACACATGGAAAAATAAGACACATCAAATATGGATCTTTGTGCGTTGAGAATGTGTAAATATATCTTCAAATGCAGGCTTGTTTTTATTTGCTCCCTTGTTGTTGCGGGGGAGTCGGGCTGTTGTCATGAAGCACAGCTCCTCCATCCACTGATCAATATGTTTTCCTCTTTTTCTCTTTCAGAGGAGAAGACACAGCTGGTTCTAAATGTCGACAAACAGCTTGAAGAAGTCAGAGAGTTGGTGGGTCTTTGATCAGTAATTTTCACTCACTCGTTTTCTAAATAATGAATTTGGAAAAATTTCCCCCCTGCATAAACAACACCTGCAATGTCGCCGGTGACATGAGACACTCTTCATCTGGCTGAAGGCTGCTCGATGCTAACGGTGTGATCACATCCACATAATGCTCTTTTAAGTGACACCGCGCGACACATTTCACGCCATTATTGGGGGAAGGCGCCGTGGCAGGTGCCGAAAGAAGGGATGTGTGTCGCATGTAAATTGTCCCATCATGTCATGTTGATTGGACAGTGTAAATCAGCGGGGCCCTTTTGTGCACTCCGGTTTGCTCACATGTGACACGGACACATGTCGTAGTTGTCAGAGCTCAACCGCGCCAGAGGTTTTAATGAAGCGGCACCTCCTTACATGACTTGATTTGCCGGGTGCCTGAATCGATGCCTCTGCACTACCTCTGGTTGACAGTAAACTAGCGAGACAGTTTAATTGTTTTAGTATCGAAATGATATGTGAAATAGTTTGCTTGTTTACACTGAATTTAATTGGTGTTTCTAGCTCGAGCAGATGGACCTGGAGGTTCGAGAGATCCCGATTCAGAGCCGAGGCATGTACAACAGCCGTCTGAAGAGCTACAAGCAAGAGATGGAGAAACTTGAGAAAGATTTTGTGAGTATTAAAAACATCTTTGAACAAAAAAAAAAACATCATGCTTTTTGCGTGAATACTTTCAATGGCCGTGTTCTACTTTACATAAGCACGCAAACGTACACATGTGGTATGAAGCTTAGTCCTTCAACTTTAAAACAACTGAAGGTTATTGGCGTTTCCACTGTGTTTAAAAGTGTATTTTCTGCCACTTGAGCCAAGGAGAGCGGAGCTGTATTTTTCTCCAGATGTCCTTGTTTAGTTATTCATAATTCTACCTGCCCATGAAGAATCTAACCCACACACATCAAACCTTAGTAAGGTGCTTTTACTCTGAAGCCAAATTTTTCCTTTGTTTGTTTTACATCACAATGTTTGTCTTTCTTACCCCCATACTATGAATATAGCCTTGCTGCTGACATGGCGTTCAAAAATAAACAAATAAATAAATACACCCATACTATAATAGTCTTAGTCAAAAACACTTCTTTTTGGTTTCTCTGAGGTGGTCACATTTACTCCATACTGTTAGGAGAGGATATACTGATCACACTAAACAAACTTTGATCCTTTAATGTTTGTAATACGAGGTGCCGCCCTTGCCCCTTTCTCTTGCAAGAGTTATTATTCCCTACATTCCCTGTTTCTGGTAAATCTTTTTGCATTTCATTGATAATATAAATATACATTTAGGTTACATTTTATTTTAAGGTGATTGTTGGTACAGTGTTTTTACACAAATAAGTACTGTGCAATATTAATTAGCTACGTGCACTTATATAGGGTTAAGATATGGATTAGGCTTAGTTACTATTAATTGTGCATAATGGAACATGCAACTATGTCCAGTGATGGGAATAACGGCGTTATAAATAAACGGCGTTACTAACGGCGTTATCTTTTTCAGTAACGAGTAATCAAACGAATTACTGTTTCCCCCGTTACAACGCAGTTACCGTTACTGAGAAAAAAAATGTGGCGTTACTATAATTGAACTCACTGAAGCGGCTTTCATCCGAGTAGGCTCTCTCTCCGCCATAGGACCTGCAAAGTTTTTTTCTCTGGTGTGTGTGTGTGTGTGTGTGTGTGTGTGTGTGTTTATGAGGCGCCGGAGTGGACAAAGCGAAGCGATTGGCGCGAGCGCGCTCAATGCGCGAGAGAGACCGAATGTGTCCGAGAGCGTGCTCAACAGTTGCGCAAGAGAGACCGAGGGTGTCCGAGCATTATATAGTTTGTTTATAAATAAATGACACATATCTGCAACGTTAATTAATTTACATGGTTATACAAATAAAATCTAAAAAATTACCGTCAGGTAACGTTCTGTTTAGGTTATAAAATAAACCCGAAAATAACCTGCAGGGAACATTCACAGAAAACATCTTTGTTTGACCGGTTGTAAACACGTGCGGCAAACATGTCTAGAATTTGGCTAAAATAATCTCTGATGATGACGTTCGCTATAGGTTATAAAAATAACCCCCCAAAATATTATATTTTAGTATTATATTTTTTTTTTGGTAAATTGTTCAGTATTATATTGAGAGAGCACTTGTTAAACTGTTTACTTTTGTTAGGAAGAAAATACTCAGGCTACAGTATGTCTACTAGTTGTGAAGTTGTGTAACAGTTTTATCATTTTAATATGCACAAAGAGTATGTATATTTTTTATTATTATTTATTCATTTTTGGTACATTTCTTAAGAAGCATAATTTATTTTTAAACTTATTTGTTGGCCAGTTGGGGTCTGTGCGATATTAAGTAAACCATCTATAATGTTTTTTTGTTCTACTATAGTAATGCTAATATTTAGAATAAGATATTGAATTTAATAGGCGTCTCTCACATTGTCCCACAGCAACATTAAAATATTCAAGTCAATTCACCTTTATTTATATAGCGCTTTTTACAATACAGATTGTATCAAAGCGCTTCACAGTGATAACATGAAAACAATATAACAAAAACAATATAACAATTATAACAAAGTTTGTTTCTAAAAGAAAATTGCAAAATAGAATAAATTATTATTATAAAACATTGAACACTAATCTACACTATTAAGTGTCCATTTCATTAATTTAACATATTTAATTCTGGGGGCATCCAAATTATTTGACATAGGCCTATTTGATTTTTTTTTTTTTTTTTAAGTAACGCAATAGTTACTTTCTCTGGTAATTAGTTACTTTTATAATGATGTAACTCAGTTACTAACTCGGTTACTATTTGTGAGAAGTAACTAGTAACTATAACTAATTACTTTTTTTAAGTAACATGCTCAACACTGACTATGTCACCTTAACATAAAATATGACCTATATTTACATGATATATGTAATGTTCTTCATTGATGTTATGGCAGTCCACTCTGCTTATTGTTTTTCGAGAATCTTGCACTCCTGTTTGTCATTGTGCACGAAAATTTATGCCAATAAATCATCAGAAATATTGCTGATTTATGCGCGTCTCAATCGCACTCTTTACGCTCGTCCTAACGCCTGTTAGTTGTCCGTGGATTTGCCTATATTTGGCGTTGAAAATGGAAACGTCTTTAGACATGGAAAATCGATTTTACAATCGAATCAATGAACATTTATGTCTCAAAAATCGATCAGGATTTTTTCACAAAAGTGACAGCCCTAATATATATATATATATATATATATATAACTGCCTTTCAAAATGTTGGGATCAGTAAAATTTATGTTTTTAAAAGAAGTCTCTTATTCTCACCAAGGCTGCATTTATTTGATAAAAAAAAAAAGAAGTAATATTTGTAAATATTATGACAATTTAAAATAACTGTTTTCTATTTGAATATATTTTAAAATACAATTTATTCCTGTGATGCAAAGCTGAATTTTCAGCATCATTACTCCAGTCTTCAGTGTCACATGATCCTTCAGAAATCATTCTAATATGCTGATTTGATGCTAAAAAACATTCATTATTATTATCAATGTTGAAAACAGTTGTGTAAATTTTTTTTCCAGGATTCTTTGATGAATAGAAAGTTCTATTTCATTGTTTTATAAAGGTCTTTACTGTAACTTTTGATCAATTTAATGCGTCCTTCCTGAATAAAATAATTAATTTCTTTTATTTCACCCCCTCCCCCCCAAAAAAATTCTTACTGACCTCAAACTTTTGTGTAGTGCATAATGTTACAAAAGCTTTCTTATTTCAGATAAATTTTTTTTTTTTTTTTTTTTTTTTTTTACTTTCATCAAAGAATCCTTTAAGAATAAAATTGAACGGTTTTCAACATTGATAATAATAATAAAAGTTTCTTGAGCAGCAAATCAGCATATTAGAATGATTTCTGAAGGACCGTGACACTGAAGACCGGAGTAATGATGCTGAAAATTCAGCTTTGCATCACAGGAATACATTACATTTTAAAATATATTAAAATAGAAAACAGTTATTTTGAATTGTTATATATACTTGTATATTTACTTAAATATTCATAAAATAAATATTTATATTATAAATATATATTATCTTCATGTGGAAGGATAACAATGATTGTGCTAACATTTTAATAGACTATATTATATATTAAACGGTTTTATGACATTTCAGTGCCTCTAGCCTTGTTCTCTTTGCAATCCACTCCATTCGCTTATGCCACCATATGAAGTCTCAGCACGCAGCAAATTCACTTCATCATTTCTTTCAAACTCAGCACCTGCACCTAACTCAAGGTGCTCTTGATATCAATTACCAGATGGCTACGGCATCCACAACGATTCCAGAAAGGCTGACATAAATGAGGAGAGTTTTGAAAAGGATCTTTTGCCAGTGATCTGATGTTGTGCCGCTGTGCTGATAGCTCAGATCACAGTGGAGATCTCTCGTCTCCGAGGGGCCTCACGTTCCTCACCGTGGGCATTTAATTGGCCGATGATTAATCTTTAGCTTCTCCCTCTTGACTGTTGCCGTGCTTAATTATCATGCAATTAACACCCACTGTGAAAGGGTTTAGTGCACCGTTCATGGTTGCATTCCTTTGCCTTTCACCTCTTTTTTTTTTTAGATATATTTCTATGCTAACTAATCATGGATATGCAAGATGTTGGTTGCTGTTAACATTTTAAGCCGTCGTTTGTGTTTTGTGCTTTCCAAACTCAGTAGTTTGGAAACTAATAGATCAAATATTTTACTTTTTGTAGATAATTTAAGAAATTAAAATTCATTGGGCTCAATAGTAATTGTAATGAAATGGAGAATGTTACATTAATGAAAACAGTAAGTAATGCATGTCCTAAACTTCTGGTTTAGTCTCTGACAAATTTATATATGAATGAGATAATTGTCCTGATTGAAAGCCATTTTCTCCTTGGTTCTTTGAGTTTATGTGCATTTGAAGAACAGATCCCCCTGAAGCCGCCAGTGATAGCAAACCCCAGAAACTTGTCCTAAAGCTGGGAGATTCAGCTGGCTCCTCAGAAGTGCCAAATGCTTTAGCGTGGATGGCTTATCCTCTCTGCCACGCAACGTGAGCACACACGCACACTTCTAAGAGGTGTCAGGGAGAGGGCCATCGCTGCTCTCTCTAAAAAAGCAGAGGCTTTGTTGTGCTTCCACGGGAAATCAAGGCCTTGTCTTGCCCTTCCCCTCTTCTGGCCTCCCTGGAGCTTCTCTCTCTTTACCCCCGCTCGCACTCACCCGTTCACCCCGCGGTTTGAAGTCTTCGCTCCATCCCACTCGCCAGACTAAGCCTCCTGTTCGGCGGCAGACGGGGACCAGCCGACCTGTTAACCCTGCCATTTTTCAAGAGAAAGTAGGCAGATATCAGAAGGACATCCCGAAGGTATGCTCGCTTCATGATGGCTTCATTTTGATAATGGGGGCGCAGGGTCTTAAAGCCGAGAACCCCCGCAGAGGCCTTATATTAGCAAAAAGGCAAAAGTGCTAAATGCTCACAAAACAACAAGTTAAAGCTTATTTGTGTTAGGCCGAAAGTCAGTCGGGGGCCGTAAAAGCCAAAAGTAAGTGTCAGTGCCTCTTAGC